AAAAAGTTAAAAAAAAAAAAATTTCCCAGAACTTGGAAAATGGTGGGAAAGCATTTTCATCAATATTGAGGAAAGAAGGCGCGTGGGGGGATGGGGGGAAATTATTTTCTTGGCTAAATTTGTCCCATCAAACACACACTTTGCATGGAAAATGAAAAACTTTTCCTAGTTCTAGGCAAAATAATGACTATCAAACATGGCCTTATATTACATTTCAAGTGAATTAGAACATATCTCCTGAAATCCTTTTTTTAATCTAGTCAGCATACACATACAGAATCATTAGAATATGCACATACGCAATAATTTGATATACGTGCCAAAGACAGTGCTAATTCAAATCATATTAAAAATGTGTATATTATATTAATTTATTCTTGAGCTAGCACATTAATTTCTAATGTGCATAACGTTGATTTTTTTTTCTTGACATGTTCATTGTAGGTCAACGTTGGATTTGATAAATGGTCAAGGTCACACTCTCGTACAAACAGATTCACGATTATGACTTCGAACATTGTTGAATCGGTGAATGCAGTGACAAAAACAGTTCAGCATTGCCCTATTGATTATTTATTCGAATAATTGAGGCACATGTTGCAGATGTGGTTCTCCAAGAACAGGGGTCTCGCTGAAGGGACGTTCACACGACTTGCATCAAAACCAGAACACTTGTTGAGATGTAACGCAAGACGGTCATTGAAGCTTAAGGTTCGATTTAATTCCTCAAAACTACCTTAGAAACTTGATTTGTTTGTGTGATATTCAAACATTCTTGTCTGAGGTAATTCACTTATTGAAATTGTCATTCGATCTTTAAATGATCTATTTAGTACTTCTTCTACATCAAAATCACAAATTGAATTGTTGTTCAGTCTTTAATTATCTTAAACTCAGGCGTATGCATCGAATGACTTCTTGTACCAAGTATCAGATGACAATTCCCAGCATGTGCTAGATTTGAAGTTGATGACGTACACGTGCAATCTTTTTCAGGTTGATGGGGTTCCGTGCCAACACGGATTAGCCGTGATTGGTGAAAGAGGTAAACAACCGTATCATTAGCGTTCGAGATACCACACAAAGGATAGTTACATGGCCTGTTATGTTGGATTCGTTGTACCACTTGGGGATCATGCCCATTGGAAAATAGATAAATACTTTTGTCGTGGTGAAATCTTACCGCCTAAATTGACGAGGCAACCAGGGAGACAAAGAAAGGCTAGGCGAAGAACAAGG